TGGATCACACACTGGATCCCCCTCAACAACGTACCACACCTCGCAGTGTCTCTTTTTCTTGGGCTTTGGACTACAAGAACACAAAAACACACAGAGATATTAGAATATGACTTCAACATACTGGGGTTGTTTTAAGCATTTGGGCTACTTATCATTTCATCACCTGTCGTATCCAGCTGCGAAGTGGAATCCTTTCGTGTACTGTGCATTGGCAGAGTTAAGAGCTTTCAACAGTTTCTGGGAGTACTTGTTGTCAGACATGGTGCTCATGTAGGAGTCATAGTCGATTACATAGACATTCATAGCAGGCGTCTCTTGGATATAAACCTGCGAATTAGCAAGAATGTTTTATCTGCAGAAAGCAAAAGCAGATCTCAGAGAAAAAGTCTCAAGTTTTATATCAAAGCTTACATATTCGTTAGTAGGTTTTGGTGGATCCATCTGATATTCTGCTGGCAGCAAGAAACTCATTGTGATGACACCCGTCCTAAAAATGCTCTTTTCAGGCAATCCCATCACAACTGGAGCAGTCATAGGGATTTTTTGGTCTGCAAGGGAACAGAAATACTGTAAACAGAATGTGTGTACCAAAACGAAAATATGTACACACTGTCAATACACATGACAATTGGATAAATAAAATTCCACATTTAGATGGAGACCATTTATAGGATCACAATATTTCAGTATTACTAATCAAGACCAAGACAATTACCTTTTTTTTTTTTTTAATTGGAAGTCAAGTTTTGAATGAAAGACAGTGAAGAATTCAGAACAATATTTTTCTACATGCTATTAAAGTCTGCTCTTTGGTTTATATTATACAAACAGTATTGCCGCTGTGTTTGTGTTTATAGGTCACATTGTGTGGAATTTAATTTGCTAAATGTATTTTTGTTTTCACAAAAATAGTTGTAAAAAAAAAAGAAGTGAGTGGAAAAAAAATGGTAGCATCAAATCACATACTAACTTGCTTCATTTTCTCCGGTGATGTACTTGTACAACCTCCAAAATGCCGGTACCATCATAAATTCCATAGCGAAGCTGGTGTAATTAGTCGTAACCCATTTCACGGAGTCATAATGCCGCACCTGAAAATTATTATTATTATTAATGCAATTCTTTTGTGCCGTTCTCAGGAATGTTCTCCCTCGAATGCTGATGGAGATAGGCGCTAGCCCCTGAGCAACCCTTCAAGAATGAGCAGATTTAGACAACAAATAGGCACTTCCATGCAAATACAAACCATTTTTATTTTCATTTTATTTGTTCTTGCCGATGCTCACCTCATATACGGAGTTCTTGCAAATCGAGTCAAACAGCAGGCACTGCTCTGTCTCATTGCAGAACTCCAGCTGGGAGGAGTCTCTGTAAAGTCAAAGCACACATAAAATTCTCTTGCATGCATCCATGAGGACATGTTAAAGTAACATCTACTCATACCACATGCTGAATGAAAGTGTCAGTAAGATCATTTTTCATACCCAACTCTGGCTTCAGCTGTTAGAACCAGCAGAAGACCCACGAGACCTGAAAAACAAATCCTGAAACACAGAAAATGTAGAGCGCTTGTTTCAGAACTTCAATGCATTTCTGTTCAGTGAGAATGTAAGTCAAAATGAACGTCTACTTACATTGCAGCTCACTGTTGAGTTCTCAGCTTCTCGAACAGTAACAGTACCGACCCAAAGCAAGCATTTATCCCCTTCTGGTTATGAAAGGAAAACAGGCTCCTCCCTGAACTCCTAATTCAGTCCAGACAACAGAGAGGCAGAACATGTGAGAAAATCTTTACAGAGGCAAAAGAATGTGGGAATACTCGCTTGTGTTCTGTAACCTCGCCTTTGTGTAATACAGATGTGAAACTTGCATTTATGTCACACCAACTGATGTAATAACAAAGGATATATTTTGCATAATTTAATTATAACTCTTTTGCTTCACCTCAGACAACAGGCCACAAAGGTCAGCAACTGTAACCTTGACTGTAACATCATGTGTATACGTGCAGTCATGTAGGTGGACGGGTTACTGAATCAGAAACAATCATTCTCTCTTTGCACTAACAAGAAAACATGCTTTTTCTTTTCTGATTTGCTTTGTTCTGAAATAAATAAATGAATAAAATATATAAAAACATAAAAGCAATACCCCGAGCAGTAGCCCTCAGCTGTTGATCACTGATGGAAAAGCAGAATTTTGTTTGTTTTTTTTCTAAATCAGAAATTTGATCTTTAAATGTATTTTTATTTTTTATTTTTATTTGTGAGTTCATTTTGCTGTTATTGTTACCTAATATGCATTTCTTGTTCCTCAGCTGAGACATAAAGGAGTGGACACAGCTTGTTGGATTGACACTTTAAGATAAATAAATATATAGTCTATCATCTGTTATCAGAGCGAGTTAGAACATTGTGTTTTGTCTGATTGTCTTGTTCACACGCAGTTTTGCACATCAATGAATTGCATAGAAAAGATGTAAAAAAATACCTTGGATTTGGTTAGCAAGCAGACAAAAACTTCCCTGGGAGAGAAATAATGGGACTGCCAAGGGAATTATTGGCATTGACAAAATCTTTTCTTAAAGCTCTCACGATACCTGTTTTGTCCTCAGATGACACCTGATCTGGGCTGGGAGACAGAATGTTCAGTCACACCCTCTGCATTCAACTCAGTTCAAAATACTTTATCAATCACCAGACAGAAATTAAATGTTGTTATAACTCTAGACAATTTTCTTCAGAGTTATTATAGATGCAGATGGCTGTGAGCATGGGTCTCCTGTAGTGGTCAGTGTTGCAGAAACCATTTGAAAGCTCTGACTGAAGACACTCAGTTGTTTCATGAGGAGGATACTAAGAATTGTCCATCATTATCGTGATTTTATGAAGAATTAATCTTTTCGAATTCTCAAGGAGTAAAGTTAAACAGACAGTGTAATGGATAAGAAAACTATGATGTAACATTTAACAGAAAATACAGTAAAGATCACATTAATAAAGGTGATACATTTAAAAAGTGTCACCTAGTTTTTCAAGTTTCATAACGCTGACAAAAATCTACTCAGTCAGCAGAACTGGTTGTGTTGTGAATGTGCAGTCTTTCAGTCATAAAAAGTGTGGGTGCTTCAAAGGAATGCATACGACCACATTAACTTTTCACTCAAAAAACAAACAAAAAAATAAACCTCTTAAAAAAAAACCAATTGAAATTAAATTATTACCAGGCAGGCTGATGCAATCAAGCTTTTTACTTTATTAGGAAGAAAGTTTTAAGTTTCAGCAACAGAATTATTTTTTCCTTGATTCAAAATTATTTCAAGAGCAGAAAAGGATTTGAAGACTTTTGACACGGACACTAAGCTGTTAAACAGACAATTCAGATAAATATGCTGCTTTGTCTAACAGAATGCTCTGCCATTAATCATGAAAAAAAGAAAACAGTTCCAATTGCATAATGGTGTGAGCATGTAGAGGTTATATAACAAGTCAAACAGATGTGAACGATTTTTCTTTTGTCACTGAGAAAAAGGATTGGAGTAAAAAGAAACCCTCCCACTGTTGCAAAAAAATTGACAGTTTTTTTTTTTTATTTTCCTCATAAGAACAAGATGCATCCTTATATAACAAATGAAAGAATAAAAAGAGGAATCAGTAATGTCATGTAACGTGGTGGTTGTGTAAGTTACTGGATTGTTTTGGCTTTAAGGGAGCAGTGAAGCTGACTCATTATTACTATGTTCCTCTGTATGAGTTTTAGGATGAGAGCTTTATTTTACCTTAACACATCTGTGTGATTAAATGGACCCTGAAATGATTTATTTCAGTTTCATCTGTAAAACACACATCTATTTTTTATATTTGTTAAACTAATTTTGCTTTGGGCTCTGAATAAATGTTTTGAGTCAAGAGTTCTTATTATTCCATAATTTGGATTGAAACAAAGAAGTGGGAGCTATCAAATTAGAAATTATTGTGGATTTTGCTCTAGTTACTACAGAAGCATGAAAATCTGATTATACATTATTTATTCACCTCAACCAGTTCAAGGCCAGTTAACTTCTCGTTGTGATAATGACTGTCAGTAGCTGGTAGCTCCTCTTTGCCAACAATAAAATGATTTGTTTGATAGCACGCAATAAGCTGAACAATTCTCAAAACAACGGGAAGGCACAAGGAACGCAGTGAAGCTCTGAAAAGAATTGTAGATTTAAACAAAACATTGGAAAACAACATGATCATTTCAAACAAGTGTATGAAAGGACTAGATATTAATCATTATCATCATTTTGCAAATGTATGACAAAATGACTGTAGCTATTATTCTCAGATGATACTAAGGAACATCACAGGAACCACCAAGACTGATATGCCACAAAAGTGAAACTTTTGGTGCTGCTGTTAGTAAAACTAGCTTTACATTTTGATGGATTGACGGGGTGTGGATGAACCAAAATATTAAGTACTTATCACAGCATTTACAAATAATATTACTTTTGAAAATTGGCTTTTTTTTAAAAATCCTGACATATAGGTGCATATCACTCATTGGACTCTTGTTTTTTTTTTTTTTTTTAAATGTCTAATTGGATTTCTGTTATAGACACTGCTCCAAATTTCACATTTTTGCTCTAAATCATTTGTATTCTTGCTCAAAGCTGCTATAAAAATAATGTATCTCGAGATGCAATAAATGATTCATGTTTTAGGAAAACGTACTACCATTAACTGGAAGTGTGGGAGCCATAAAAGCTCACTCTTTCTGACCCAAAAGATAAATTATGTTTCATTCATGCTGATTGTTGAACAGAATATTAGAGTGACGAGTCTGCCCTCCAGAGGCCAAAACAAAAACTGCAAGACTTAGTTAAATCTAGAGCGGTGTTTTTATTTTATTTTATATAATATACATTGTTAGACATTTAGAAATATATTGGACATGACGATTTTTTTTCTTTCAGAAATTTAACTGGGTAAAAACTGCATTTCATGTGTAGGCGTAGTCTTTAAATACAATTCCACGAAATGTTGAAGGATATAAAAAAGAAATATATACATATAAGAGACGCAGTGAGTAATCCAGAGTAGAAAATACCCACCAAGAACAAAAAACAACAGCAGCAATATAAATGGTCCTACAGTTTGTGTATTTGGAGTAAACCGAAAAACTACAACTCCCATAATACATGAGCCGCTTGAGTAATCCCTGAGACTTTAGCCGCCTGTCCCGACATTTGAGACTTCGTTATGTTGTTCAGTGTTTTTGCAGCAATTCATCGATGCACTGTTGACAAACTGTTTTTCACGTCAGTGAGGACCAAACAGCTCGCTCCGCAGGTGGGTACCGTGTGGCAAACAAACACATCTGCCTCAATATAGAGTCTTTTGTAAAGATTTAGCAGATAGTGACCTTGGTGTAATTTAAGATTATGCATAGATCATTGAGTGGCAGGTCTTGGATATTGGGCTTTTCTAAATGTCAGAAAGAAGTAGCTTTTCTTCTTGTTGTTTGCAGGCTTTTTACTCTAGATTCAGTTTAAAACCTACACAGCATGACTAAAATAGTTGTTGTTTTTTTATTCTATTGTTAACTATGTTATGTAGATGACTGCAGCAGGTTCAGATGAGTGAAATCAAAAATCTAGAGGGCTACTCAGAATCCTTAGGTAAAATCTGAACTGGAATATTCTTCAGTTGTAAAAGATTTTAAACACCTTGTGGTAAAACCTTTCTCAGGTAAATTTAGATTGTGATAGGAATAATATAAACTGTACCAGTAGAACGTCTTTAATATCAGAAAGAACATCCAGGTCGGACAAACCAATATACTTCACAACAGCTTTTAAACTGGATCAAGTCTAAGGTGTCTGTGATTTTTTTTTAAAATGTATTGTCTTATTTCAAAGAACAGCTATTTATTTCACAATAAACTATGTTTTAAACTGTCATTATGCAGTATACTATATTCCTTTGTAGATATGACCTATTTCTATCCTGTACCATATTTAATCCTATTACAACTAAAAATACAGCTTTTCCCTTTTGAAGAAAAACATTTTAGGATTTCTTCTCAAGGTAATTACGTACAGCATAATTATCTTCTTGTCATGGACATTTTGTAACTACTGTGATTTCAAATTGGATGATACTTCTTTAGTTTTTACTTTAAAAACTACTATTGCTATTTGAATGAGTTTGCTTTTCTTTTGTTTGTTTACCTCAGCACACTTTCTGGTCTTTTTTTTTTTTAATATGAAAGGAGTTATTGGCCCAACCTGTGGCTTCTTTATAGCCTCATTATGCAACCATTTAGAAATATTAGATATTATATAGGGACAGTGATTGATATACTTAAAATATAGTATGCAAACATGGCCGTGGTAGACTCTGACTCACTTTGAGCACAGGGAAAACACCATTAGATTTAAGTAAATGTGGCTTATCACACCTTGAAACACAAGAAAGCCATAGCAGTGTAGAAAAGATATTTGAGCTTTTTTTAAAATTATTATTATAGTCCACTGGTAAGTCTTGAGGTCGCCACCATGGGGACCAGGAGAGTGCTGGTTACTGGTTGCTCCTCTGGTATTGGCTTGGCTGTGGCAGTACGCTTGGCCAAGGATGAGACCAAACGGTTTAAAGGTAAGCTGTTGATGTTCTTTGCTGCACCTTAAAAAAATTCAGTATCCAGTAGATAATAAGTAATCAAAGTGAGTGACATCCTGTGTGTTTGTCTGAGCCAGTAGTTGCCACAATGAGGGATCTTGAGAAACGTGGCCCTTTAGAAAAAGCAGCAGGTGATTTATTAAATAAAACCCTGGTGATCCAAAAGTTGGATGCCTGCTGTGAAGAATCCATCAAAGAGTGCATCAACAGCATCCCCAACCGACAAGTGGATGTCCTCGGTCTGTTTCCTTTGCATAGGATTATTCAAAATAAATTTCACTTAACAAGCAAACATTATTAAAAGAGAATATTTCATTGTTGTAGTGAACAATGCGGGCATTGGCATGATTGGACCACTGGAGTGCCAAAGTATTACCTCAATGAAAGAACTCTTTGAAGTCAACTTCTTTGGCCTGGTGCGATTGGTGAAAGAGGTGCTGCCAGACATGAAGCAAAGGCAGAGTGGCCATATCGTGGTGATGAGCAGTGTCATGGGGATACAAGGTGGGTTTTATTTTAATGAGCTCAGTTTCAGACAAACCTAATAATTGTAAAACACTTTTGATGTTCTCCCAATGTTTCCACAAAGGACTTCTGTTCAACGACATCTACTCTGCGTCCAAGTTTGCTGTGGAAGGATTTTGTGAAAGTCTGGCAGTGCAAGCAATGAAATTCAACATCAAGTGATTACATGTCCCGAACAATACAACATTTTTAAAAATGCAGCTCTAGTCCCCAAGTAAAACTTTAGCTATCTAAACGTCTACATTGGTAAGAATTTACAGCTCAGCAAATGCATCGCTTTTAGATTTACGTACTTTTGTTTTCCTAGGACTACACTGGTGGAACCTGGTCCTGTGATGACAGAGTTTGAAAGAAAAGTGTATGAGGATGCAGAGAACACAGATCTGTCTGAGACAGACGAGGAGACGGCCAGGATCTTCCGTGACATTTATCTTCCATACTCTAGAAAGGTCTTCACAACTTTAGGCCAGACACCAGAGGATGTGGCCGAGGCAAGTAGTGACAGTGTCCTTAAAACTGAGAATTAAAGGCAACACATTTCCTTTTCAGTTAAAATGCATAACCAGAAGACTCCTTTTGATGCAAAGTTTTGTTCTTTTCTCACTGTTTAGCAAACACATAAAGTGATTACAGCCAAGGAGCCTCCTCTACGGCACCAGACCAACCGACTGTACATGCCCATGACTGCACTAAAGCATGCAGATCCCACTGGCAGACTTCCTCTGGAAGCTTTCTATAAAATGATCTTTAAACATGACGCTGTTTTTAACGCCACCTTGGGGATTCTGCGCATGATGAATCGGAGGAAGGGGAACAAATAATAATTTAATGGAAGTAGATGCAATAGTTGATTAGGGTTACTGCAGTTATTCTTGTAAACAAATAAATCTTTTGTTAGCTTTGTTACCCTTAGAAGAGGATTTAATGATTTTTCTTTTTTCTTTTTGAAGATATAAACTGGATGTATGTGATCCTTTAAATTTATTGGTTTGATTTTGGTCATTAGAAACTCAGGTGTTTTTTTTTAACCCTTCAAAGCCTGATAGAAGAAATTGTTCTATACTTTTAAAAACTGCACTGTCTATTATATGCTTCTGTCAAATTATGTCTATTTAAATATTCCTATTTTATGTTATTGCATTAATAAATTATATCTTGAAAACTGGTCCTTATTTTAAAGACATTTATTAAGTTCTTATCAAAGTTGATGAAATTCCTGCAGTATATATTGCCATTTTATTTTAGTATTTAAAGTAAAAACTACTTTAATCACAATTGATTCAGACATTGCTTTTGTCTACAGAACATTTATTGATGCTTAATTTAAACCCTGGTTCATGACTTAAAAAAAAGAGGTTCTGAAGTTAATTAGTTTAATTTAATTTCTGTACCATTAAAAAATGACTTCAAAGGTAAATAAAAGTGGTGCAAAAAGGCACAAGATAAGTCCAAAATTAAGAAAAAAACATTTTTTTAAAATTAAAAGTAAAAATTTTAGCAAAAGAAAAGGTCAATATATTAAAAATATATTTATCTCTCTATGTATGTGGAGCATCATGGAGTTAAATTCTAGGAAAGGTTCTTTCTGGGACATAAAGAATAATTTTGGTTGAAATATAATTTCCACACAGTTATTCTTACATTATGTCAGATCAGTTTACGGTGATAAAATTTGCATTTCTCTCAGATGGCTTGAGGATTGTTTAGATCATTTCTAAAATGTAGGTCAGCACATTTTCAATCTGAGTCTAAATCTGGATGAGAGTTTCCATTGTGTGTTTTCTCAATCTTTTTTTTTTTTTTTTTTTTTTTTTACATAAAATATGTGAATGCACAGTATATTTCACAGACTGTTAAATGGAGGAAAGTTTTACAATGTTAGCAATGTGTTGCATTTGAAAGAAAGTAGATTAAGCCTTTACTTTAAACAGGACAAAGGTCTATGGCATTTATCTTCCAGCACGACTAAGTGAAGTAATCTCTGTCTCATCCTGGTTATAATTACCTCTGTGAAGAATCCATTGAGCCAATATCAGTGTGCTGACACATGGTTGGTCTCATCTTTACACTATATTTAAAGAACAGCTTTTACATTGACAATATCACCCAGTTTTGACTTTGGCAGTAATAAATTATACATGCATGCTAAAGTTATACCAAATAGCTGCGTTTGGTAGTTTCTACTACTTGACTGAGCATAGGTTAAACCTGATCAGTGTCTGATTGGAAAATGTTTAGGATATTATCTGGAAATAAGGAAAAGTTAATCCCTTTAAGATTATCATTAATACCTTTGGAATATGACAGATCTGAACTTGTCATTCAGAACAGCTGCTCTGTATATTAGTGTGATATAAACAGACTGCTAAAACACATTGCTGAAACACACAGCTAAAAGCAAATAATAATAATAATAATAATAATAATAATAATAATAATAATAATAAATAATGTACTGAAAAGTAGTTCCCTGTATTTTTTATTACAAATATATTTAACAAGTTTGATTAAAAAAAAAGAAAAGAAAAACTGCTGAGAAATGTTGACAGTGACTTTAAACTACTTTTGAACAATTGTAGGAATAAACTGAGGATATATCAACATGTGCTGTTGTAACAAGCTTGCTAAAAAAATATTCATTAGTCTCAGTTTCAAATAATGCTAAATGAAATACACTTTATTTCTGTCTTTTTAGTACATAACAATCACTTTAGGAAAATAAGACTTCTTAAGCAACGATCTACCCAAAACAAACAATATTTACAATCTGCAACTGAAATTTTGTAACTGAAATGGTGAATGCACAAAACACTTAGTGTGACCTGGCAGGAAAATTTTAAGACCAGAAAATTAGAAAAAAACAAACAAACAGACAAACCAAACATTTTCACCTGCAAATAAGATGCAAACTGGACTGTGAAAATCAACACTTTCCCAGGTCTGAGAGACCAGCACCTGGTTCTATAATGAACAAGATAAAATAGAAAAACAAAAATAAACTCAGCTGATAACTCAACTAGACGCAGTGTTTAGGCATTGTCACCGTAAAAACAATAACTAGAAGTGATGAGCTAATTCGTCTCTGCTCAAAAAGCATTAAATGAAAATGCCAAAGTGTCTTTCTTAAAATGTTACGATACAAAAAGTCTGAAATGTGCACAAAATGTTATAAAGAGGCGACCGACCCCCCGTTCTACATGGCCAGGTTATATGAAAAACAAAATACTTGTTCAGACATAATACAAGTGGTTAGCTAAATGACTTGAGTTTCATCTTACAATTACGCAACATAAACACTACACAGTAGTGTTGTTTCGCCCCCCCCCCCCCCCCCCCCTCCTTCGTTTTCTGCTCCTCCCTATTATCCTTTCATTCGTTTATGCTG